ATATTACCTATACAATTAAATTGAAAGCATCAGAGTTGAAATAGAAAACATTAGTCAAAGAAGAGAAATATGGTAATAATTTTGTTTATAAATAATATAATAAAGGTTATTTATTTTCTTGGACTAAATACTTTAAGGACAAGACTTAATCTATTTAACTTTTCTTGACATAATGGTTGAACATTTTTTTTAAAGCAATGAGAAACGTGAAACTGATGATTTATTCGGAGGCCTTTTGCAATATAATGTTATCTGAGAGCATTAAAATATGTCATCAACAAAAAGTAGTTCAAATTTGAATCAAAATGAGGAGGACGAATCGGTTAGTGATGCTGAAATGCAGATTTTATTAGAAGATAATATAAGAGTTTATAATAATTTGGCAGCTGCATTGATTAAAACATAAGTCTACAATGCAGTTTTAGAAAATGTGAAACATGTTTTGAGATGTCAATCACAAAATGTGAAAGCACTATTTAGAAAAGGTATTGCAAAATATCAAATTTTCTTTTATTTGCTATATTTAAACTATTTTTTAAAAATAAGTTGTATATATTCTTGATTTATATTTTACATATGAAAAATTTAAATATGTATGTATATATATTAAGCGTATCGTAGGAACAATATTAAGACACAAAGGGAAATATGCAAAAGCTTATGCAATCTCTCTCTCTCTTCTGAAATTCAAAAATTAAATCCAGAAACAAAGATATTTATTACAGAATTAATAACCTTAAAGGATGAAATCGCTAAAGATGCAGAAAAAGAAAAACATTTATAGTTCGTCGTAAAATGTTAGGTGTAGTTAAAGATACTTTAATTTTATCGAAGGATATAAAAGTAGATAATAAAAGCAAGTAATTAAATAAAGGATATAGGTACTTTTTTTCTGTGTCTTTAGCAATTTTGTCCTTTAAAGCTATTAATTCTGTAGTAAATATCTTCATTTCTGGATTTAATTTTTGAATTTCAATGGAGAGAGAGATTGCATAAGCTTTTGCATATTCCCCTTTGTGTCTCAATATTGTTCCTATGATATGCATAATATATGTATACACATATTTGTATTGTTCCTACAATACGCACAATATATATACACAAATATTTAAATTTTCCATATGTAAAATATAAATCAAGAATATACACAACTTATTTAAAAGAAAAGATTAAATATAGTAAATAAAAAAATTAGGATTTTTGCAATACCTTTCCTAAATAGTGCTTTAACATTTTGTGGTTGACACCTTGAAACATGTTTCACATTTTTTAAAGCTGCAGCGTAGGTTTCTGTTTTAATCAACGCAGCTGCCAAATTATTACAAACTTTTATACGATCCTCTAATAAAATCATTAACCGACTCTTCCTTCTCATTTTGATTCAAATTTGAATTATATTTGTCGATGACAGATATTCTAATACTCTTCGATAACATTATATTGCAAAAGGCAACTCCATATAAATATCTCCATATAATAAATAGCTATGATATAAATAGCTCCGAATATACCATCAATTTCCATGCTCAAGTTTCTCCTTACTTTAAAAAATGAGTTCAACCATTATGTCAAAAAAATTAAATACACTAAATTTTGTCCTTAAAGTATTTAGTCCAAAAAATAAATAACCTTTATTATATAATTTATAAACAAAATTATTACCATAGTTCTCTTCTTTGACTAATGCTTTCTATTTCAGACTCTAATTCTGATGCTTTCAATTCAATTGTCTATGTAATATTTTTGATACAATTCCTGCAAGACTTGTTTTGCTATATTAATATAAACATGCAACTCATTGCTTAGCCATTTGTCAGTTAACCTAAAAATATTAATTATGCATTAATTACATTTATATATAAAATATAAATAAACATTATATAGATGAACGCGCGTTCGCGCATATAATTACCAGCTTATCGTTACCGAAAACATGGTCAGCCACAATCTTCAAATATTCCTTCGATTCTTCCACAATCATTTTCCAACAATGTATTTATCACAAATATATTAACTGATAATGTACAGATTCACTCAAGCACTGTGTGTAAAGCATTCGCTCACTTTTGCTAATATAACCTAATTTTGCTCAATATAACATCGATTGCAAGAAATCACTTCTCTTTTTTGCACTATCCCGCGTTAATAATTTCTTTTTACTTTATCACTTTTTTTCCTTGTGTTGTTGCACTATTCCACGATATTCTCATAACATTAATCATTTTATCACTTTTCTTCTTGTTGTATTATACTCCGCGCGTACTCTTATAAAATATAAACATTATTATTTCACACGTATGCACACACATTCACATATGATTTTGTCTCTTAAAGCGTTTTGCACATCAAACGAATAATCATACATGAGTGCTGCAAACGCGCTTTGAGGGACAAAATCGCTTTGCGTGTGTGCGTGCAAGCATACGTACGTGAGTCTGATTATTCTTATCTAGGAGAAAAATGAAAATGTCACATTTCTGGTATACGATTATCATTTCTCAGGATTGACTGCACCAATCTTATTCGAACTGGTCGCAATCGAAAGTTTATATCCACATTATATAATAAAAGTGCTGTTAGCTTTTGATTACGACTTCAGTTCCTGAGCTATTTTAATCGAAAGTTTATTAGACGTAAAATTCCGTATAAGCTATTTGGTAGCGTCGCGGCCCCTGTATATAATCAAAACTATTGACAAGCCGGAAACAATTTTTTTATATACTTGGCGTCGCGACGCTACCGCGTCGCTTGATTTATTATGCTTATCCTATATTTGTATTATGCTTATCCTATATCTTTGTATTTATTATGCTATATTTTGATAGCATTGTATAATATACGAGATTTGATCAAAAAATACGCGGAATTTTTGAATTTTGCGGGCTGTATAAGTCCAATTGTCATAATTTTTTTCTGTTGTGTTGATACACTTGTTCCTGACGTATCTTGAAATCGGTAGCCATATTGGATGCTTACTTTATTGTTGGCTGTCGAAAAGGTTACATGTGTTTTGGTGTGCTCGGCGATTTTTTACTTGTGGAAAAAATGGAACAAAGATTTTGCATTAAATTTTGCTTTAAGAATGGAATAAAGTGCAGCACCGTATTGGAAATGTTGAATGTTGCTTTTGGCGAGTCTTCTATGAATAAAACAAGCGTTTACAAGTGGTACAAATGTTTCCAAGAGGGCCGTAAAGACGTTGAAAATGGCGAGCGCCCTGGACGCTCCAGCACATCAACAACCGATGACAACGTCGGAAAAGTGAAGAAAATGATTATGGACAATCGCCGAATCACTATCAGAGAGGTTGCTGATGATGTTGGCATATCATTTGGCTCATGCCAAGCAATTTTTTCGGATGTTTTGGGCCTGAGATGTGTGGCAGCAAAATTTGTTCCGAAATTGTTGAATTTCGACCAAAAGCAGTGCCGAATGGGCATTGCTCAGGAGTTGCTGAATGAAGTCAACGACGATCCAGAACTGCTCAAACGAGTCATAACTGGTGATGAAACATGGGTGTACGGATATAATGTCGAAACTAAGGCCCAATCGTCCCAATGGAAGCTTCCTGAAGAGCCAAGACCGAAAAAAAATCGTCAAGTTCGATCGAATGTGAAGGTTCTGCTCATTCTGCTCACCGATTTCAACGGCATAGTATATCATGAGTTCTTGCCACCAGGTCGTACGGTCAATAAGAAGTACTACCTGGAAGTTCTACAAGTTCTACGTGAAGCGATAAAAAAAACGCCCGGATTTGTGACGAAACAACTCATGGCAATTGCACCATGATAATGCATCTGCTCACACTTCACTGCTTGTTCGTGAATTTTTGGCCAAAAACAAAACAACACCGATGCCTCAACCTCCGTATTTGCCGGACATGGCCCCCTGCGACTTCTTCCTATTTCCGAAGATAAAAAAAACCATGAAAGGAAAGGACTTTGCCAACATTGAGGAGATAAAGACAGAATCGCTGAAGGAGCTAAACGCCATACCGAAAATTGCGTTCCAGAAGTGCTTCGAAGATTGGAAAAAGCGCTGGCACAAGTGTATTATATCTAATGGGGACTACTTTGAAGGGGACAAAATTAATATTGATGAATAAATAAAGATTTTTTGAGAAAAACAAAAATTCCGCGTATTTTTTTATCAAACTTCGTATATTATACATTATTCAAAGGACCCTGCACGTTTTCTATGGAAAAATGACCCCGGTCAAATTGCTCCGTTCTAAAATATGTTGTAGTTTTTATAATTCTGAACAAATTTTTCCTGTGTCATAAGCACGTAAAATCAAAGGGTAGAGAAATATGGAGCTCTGAAGTCATAGAATCTGAGTATGCCATATCTCTTTCAGATAACCTGATGCCTTTTTTTATGTGTAATGGGTACATATGCACGTATATTCGTGAATGTTGTGTATCCGTGCGTGCAATCCTGTGTGTGTGTGTGTGTGTGTGCGCGCGCGCGTATATATACAAAGTGTTTCATGAATACACTCGCACTTATAAAACCACTAACTTAATCTAATCCCAAACGAATAAATATTCATATATACACGTAC